TGGATAGACTCAACCTTTTCTTTTTGTCAGAATGAGGTGTGAGATAGACATGGACCTCTCTCTCTCTCTCCCTCTCTTTCTTATCCTCCCTTCTTTCCTCCCTCTCCTTCCCTCCCGCCTCTGTCCATGACCTACACACTCACCTGTACCAGGTCTGGTGTGAGACGCTTGGCCTGCAGCCATTTCTGGAACCTCCCTGTTTTCCGTAGGATGCGCTCAATGCTGCAAGTCTTGGAAGCTGATGCGGACGCACAGATCCTCCTGTCTGAGATCTCATTTTGGTACTTACTGACCAGCCTAGAGATCTCCACAGGGCGCCAGGTTTTGGAATCATCTGAGTAATTTGCAGGGTAAGAAGGCAAGTAGTCAGGAGGCAGTCTGAGGTGGGAATCCAGTGAGTTGTCAAACCTGTTGAAAGAATAATCCTTTTACTATTGACCTGTGAGCGGGAGGTCAGCAGAACTGAAGGACAGAGAGATGGGACAGCAGTCTGCCCGATTCATTTCTCTTCCTTAGATTGAAGTTTTCAAAACTCATTTTATGAGAGGGCTATTTTTATTTCCTCAAACTTAGGGAAGTACAGTTGTGATGTCAGAAAAGGTGAGAGAGGTGTGGGTCATATAGAAACTGTCTTCTTCCCTCAACGTGTACACAAGGACTAGCTATGTCCTTCTGAACTTCTAATCCATGCAAAAGATGGTAGCTTTACACATACTGACACTTTTGATTCTTATCATGCCCCACTCCTACTTTATAGGTGTGGAAACTGAGGCTTATAGTGCTTAAGTACCTTGCCCAAGGTCAGAGAGTACATAACCAAGCAGGGGTATCTGTCAGCAAACCCCGTCATTGTTCCCCTTCCTTGTACTGGTTGCCCAAACCACCCATTCTCTAACCAATGCCCGGATTTTGGAACCATAGTTCTCAAAGAGGCTTTTGGGCTAGCACTGGGAAGACTGCTGCCTCTCTATATCCAAACCCAAGGAGCCCCATCAATTTGGCTTTTAATCCAAAGACTTAAGTCATCAGCACCAACCAAGTCTCAGGCAACCATGGCTGCTGAATGATTACCAAATCTGAAGCTATCTAGGCTCCAGGAGGTATGTAATTGTACACAAGGCCTGGTCAGTTTTTAATCCTCAGGGGAGAGGCACTGCCCTATTATTGCCTGCCAACTTCCTAGGCCCTGTGGTTACTTTATCTCTGTAGTCATTTCTCCAGCTGTGTGCTGACATTTCCATTAGGGAAGAGTGTTAAATTGCCTATTGATTTACATATGAAAAATTACTTAGAAAAAAATCTGCCCTCATTATTATTAATTAAGGGTCACACTGCAAGTGAAATTGAGGTTATATAATATATTACATATTTAATTTAAATGAGAATCTTTAAATTCTTACTAGTGGGCACTATTGCACAACCCCATGATAAGGAGTTTTGGGTAACATGTTTTGGAAGGATCAGCATTTTGATGAGCCCCAAACCCTAGATTGTTTTCCCATTTACAAGGCACAACTTTACCCTAAGAGACTGCAAGCTTTTGCTACTGTTTTTTCCCTCATTTTGTTTGTTTATTTATTGATTGATTGATTGAGTTGGGGGTAGAATCCAGGGCCTTGTGAATGTTACGCAAACGCTGTGCTACAGAGCCATAACCCCAACCCTTTCCTATTGTCTTGATGGTAAGGCAAACTACACAAAAACTTGCAAAGGCAAAGAGGTCAAGGGACTTGTCCAGGGAGCTGGAGACCCTCAGTCTCTGAGTCTCCAAGGAATGTTCTAGAGCTCTGCCCTCCCTTGTTTGGAAAGGTGTTTCAACAGAAACTGTCAGTAATAAACTTCTGTAATGCAATGATTTGCATTGTGCAATGGAAGTAGGCCCAAGGAATTCTAAAAAGATGAAACACAGTAAACTTGTAATTAGTCAATTTTACTCAAAGTTTCAGGACAACCATGGAAAAGTGTCCACCCCTCTGGGAGGATCAGGAAGGGCCCAGGAAGCCCTGTCTGCTTGTTTCCTGTGGCCGTTCTTGCTTGTGGAGTTTTAACTGTACATAGGACTAAGGATTTACAACTAGGTGGCTCTTTTAGGTAATGATAATAGTAACACAAATTTATGAAACACTTAAGCGTGCCAGTCACTTTGCTAAACACTTTATGTGTACTAATCTATTTAATTCTTTCAATACATCCATGAGACTGATACTATTATTAACCACACAGATGAGGAAACTGAGGCACAGAATGGCTACATCATTTGTCCAAGGTAGCATAAGTAGGAATTGCAGAAAGTGTCATTCAAGGCTCCAGATCTCACAACCTTCACCACTTCCATCACTATTCCTCTGTCATCCTATGAATTAGCTCATGGGAACAGATTGATAACGTTATTATGGATTAGAGCTGACAAGATCCTGAAAGTTTATTTTGTCCTTGCCCCTATTCGTATCGTGTTTAGCAGATGAGAATATTGAAGGTAGAGCATTTATGTGACTTGTGTCTTGTCTGAAGAATTATAGACTATCGGTGGTGCAGGGAGGCAAATTTGCAGGCTACTGTTCACCCAGTTGGTGGAACTTGGGGAAGAGACATCTTACCCTGTGGGACAAGCTCATTGTCCTTTTTTTTTTCCTTCCCACCTCCTGTGGTGACTCTGCTGAGAAGATTTGGTAGGTGACGCACAGGTTCAGTGATGGCTCAAGGCACTCCATAGGACTAACTGAGGCAAATATACAGGTTCTTCCCCATTCAAAATGTTAATGCATTTATTGCATCAAATAGGAAATGTGTATTCTTACACTATTGGTCATCTATTTAATTGAATAGAAGAATGTCAGTGAGAAAATGGGCCCTGCTTTTTATTTGACAAATGTTAATATGCTGGAATTTGGAAAACTACAAAACAGAGCCAGCTTTCTCATCTTCCTTTTGAATTGAGATAACAAGCATCATTGAAGTGAGGCTGACTGAATTCTGTATTGCATTAAAAGATGGACAAGTAAGATCACAGTTTCTTAGACATAAGAGGAAGCATCAAAGCTAACACTCCAAGCTTTTCAACATGGAGAGTAGGCTGGGTGTGGGGCAGAAAGGTTCAGCACTGGAATTCAAATGAAATGTCCTCTTTCCTTGCATATAGACATGCCTTCTTAAATATTTCTTGCCTCTCTTCTCTATTCCCCAGCGCTGCACCAAAAACCCCAAAACATCCACCATCTTTCTAGGCCCATGCCTGATGTTCCTTTTACAAGCTTACTGTGGTCTCACCACACCACTGGTTACTGTTGGATAAGCTGCATTCTTTTTGGCCTAAGTAATTCCAAAATACTGTCATCAAGTACCCTTATCTCCCACCTCATGCACAATACTGATCACGTAGATCCTCATGGATCCTCCCAGTTGGTGTGACCCCCAGAATCTCACTTCTAGGTATATCAATAGGCAGAGTATATCAATTTGGTTCACTCACTTTCCTAGCTTTCTTCAATGTTTTTATTCAGGTTGCAAAAGACAACGCAGAATGCATGGGAAAACTGGTACAGAAAAAATTCAAACTTTCAGCAGTCAGTGGCTGAGTATGGGAAGCCTCTGATATATCACTAGCATTCTTACCAAAGAAGATAAAGGAAAGAAGGACAGGTAGTGTTCATCTGTGAATCATGGGTCTTCAATGTACCCAGTTAGTCTGGGTAGCCCATCTGTTGTTTGGATTCCTGCATTTTCCAATTTTTAGCAAGGACCAGGGATGGAGTGCTCACGCTGGCCTAGAGCATTACAGCCAAACTTCTAAGACTTTGGGATGGACTTTCTGAGGTATAATGAGAGTCATTTTTAAAAAGTAGAGAAATGTTCAGAGACAAGATCAACACAAACATTATAAACAGACACACCATTAGAAAGAGAGGCAAAGGTGAGCGGGGAGAGGCTGGGCATGTAGCTCAGTGGTATAGTGCCTGCCTAGCATACACAAGGCCCTGGCTTCCATTTCCAGCAGAGAGAGAGAAAGAGAGAGAGAGAGAACAGAGAGAGAGAGAGAAGAAGGAGGAGGAGGAGGAAGAGGAAGCAGAAGAAGAAGAAGAAGGAGGAGGAGGAGGAGAAGAAGGAGGGGAAGAGCATGAACCTTTAGGGCTGGTGGGGTGGCTCAAGTGGTGGAGTGCCTGCCTAGCAAGAGGGAGGCCCTGAGTTCAAACCCCAATACCACCACAAAAAAAAGAGTGTGAACCTTTAGACAATTTAGCAAAGAAGGAACACAAATGGCTGATAAATCTGAAAAAAATGTTTGACATGGAAGAAATGTAAACTAAAATATAATTAATATTAAATTAATGTAAATTATACATCATTGGTATTAATCAATATATTTGACATACAAATTATATGATATATAATTAACATACAATACTAATATAATGTATAAATGACATAATACAAAAATAACACTAATATAATTAACATATAATACTAATATAATACTTTATATAGTTAATATATAAAATGTATAAATATTATTTACTTGACATATTATAATAAATTAATATTAATAGTAAATGTTTGTGAGTGCTCAAGAAGTGAGCTCTATAGGTAGAAGTATCCATTTGAAGATATATATACACATACATAACTCCTAAAATTTGCCCTTTTTTGATGTTCCACTTTTTTTTATAACTTTTTGATAGGGAATTAATAATATAGGTGCACAAAATGTCACCACAAATGTTCAACATAACATTGGTTATAATTCTGAAAAGTGGAAAAAGTCCTAGTTGTCTCATCGTAGTGATTAATTACATAAATTATACTTGTTTGATGTAATTGAGTATCATGAAGCCATTAAAAATCAAATCATGGAAAATATTTAATCATGTGGAAAGGGGTTCATAATATATAGTTGAATAAAAGCTCACAGAAGATAAAGAAAATGTAGTATATATATATATACATATATATATACACACACACATATATACAATGGAGTATTATTCAGCCATAAAGAAGAATGAAGTTATGTTGTTTGCAGGAAAATGGATGGAACTGGAGATCAGAGTGTTAAATGTCATAAACCAAACTCAGAAAGACAAATAGTTCAAAATACAGACCTAAAATGACATGATTGTAAAAGGGGGACTGGTTTTTGGGAGACCAACAGATGGGGGAAAGGAAAGTGTGACAGGGGGTCAACATTACAGAAATACATTTTATATATTATGAAAGTAGCATAATGTAATCCCTTGTTAAAAAGCAATGAGAGGGGTTAAGAAAATAACATAGATGGGGTGAATTTGATGAAACTACATTATAAGCATGTTATAAATATCATAATGAAACCCCTTCGTACAATTCATTTAAATTAAAATTAAAAGGTTTAAATTTAAAAGGGTTCCAAGAGAGCGTGCAAGTACGATCATGTTTTTGTTGAAAACATTTCTTAATTCATTCTTAGAAAAAGTGTTGCACCAATATACAGCTCTGAGGGGCGATCTTGGGGAAGGAATCATATGTGATTTTTATTCTGTGTTTTCCTTTATCAATATTCTTAAAAATTCTAAAATTATCAGGTACCACATATATAATAATAAAAAGTTATTTATAAAGTACTGAGAAGTCTTCTAAACAAGTCCACATTGTCAGACTCTCTCCTTGTCTCCCTCCGCCCGTTTGTGCTGCGGATGAACTCTGCACACTTCCCTTTCAAGCACATGTGGAGAATGGATGTTAGAGAAGTGAAATAATAGCCTGAACTTTAATGGAGCACAAACCCACTTAGGGCAATGCCTTCTAAATTTGGCCAGTACTTACCTGGTGAGAAAAACTTCACTCATTGTCACTTGGTGAAGAGGGAGGATGGGAACTCTTCAGCTCAATCCCTTAATTTCTCTCCCTCCTAGTTTAAAATATATCCATATTTTCATTGCCTTGGTTCCCCAAGGAATCAATACCATTTCACTTGTGTTTTTGCTCCTCTTCATTTGCTGGATCGGACACTTTTGAGTTCACATTCAACGTCTCTATCTTTATTTCCTTTCACACAGAGTCAGTCAACAAACTGTGTAGTTGATAATCTCTCTTTTGGACTATGAGAAGTGGTCTCACTGCCCCTGACAACAGCCCAAGTCTATCCTGCACACTGCTTTCAGTGAGATCTTCCTGAAACATGGGTCTCACCTTCCCCTTTCCAGCTTAACACTTTTGCCATTGCAGACCATAAGAACTGCCCCAACTGGGGCTCTTTCAACTTTTCCACATTTAAAGATGAATTTTAAAAAAAAGGCTTAACAAGAAAAGTCCATATCCACTCCCTAAAATACTTAAGATCTCTTAAATTTAGCATTTTCAATTGGTATTTTCTATTTATCATTCTCTTTAGTAATTTGGTTGAATAATCAAAAATGTCTTTGGTAATATGGATCGGTAATAAAATCATTGTTTCTGCCTTTTATTTGGTCACTGAATCTTACAAGCACCAGTTAGGGTCTTGGGGGCGGGTAGAGGAGAAGGGGGTTTTAACAAAGGGTCTGTGGTACTGAAAATGTTGGGAACCACTGATCCACAGGTTAAGATCTCAATTCCTTGACACAGCACTCAAGGTTCCCTGCCTCCTCCTCTGCCGTGCCTCATATACATCCAGTGCTCCCGCCATTAAGCACCTCTCTACTCTTCCCACCCCTCTGTGCCTTTGCTTAAGCTGCTTCTGCCTAAGCCTTTCCCTTGCCATGGAATTTGAGGCCATCCTTTAAGGGCTAGTTGAGAATTCTTTCCCTAAGAAAAGCCTTTTCCCAGTTCCTATTTGAAATTAATGTCCCCTCCTTGGAGCTCCTGGGGGTCCTTTACACTGGCCTGCATCAGACCAAGCCTTATCATTTGTAACATGGCTCCCACCTCCTGACCCACTGGAGGGCACTGACCAGAGTTATAGTGGCTGTCACCACAACACCTGCTGGGTCTTAACCTTGGTAAAAGCTCACTGACTTTGTGTTGATAGTTTTGAATTTCAGTGTGTGGTGACAGCCATGTGCAGCACAATCTACTAAACACCAATTTTCCTCTGATTTAATGTCACACAACAGAAAGCTGGCTCTGAAACTTTACAGCAAACTGTCCTGGTTTGTATCCCAGATCTGCCACTTATTAGGAGGTGCTCTATGTCAAGTCACTTAATCTTGCTGCATCTCAGTTCACCATCTGAATAACGGGTGCAAAGTACTAACAACCAGATGGTTCCAAGTATCTGCCACATAGAGGGCTTGCTATAAATTTTATTCCCCCACCACGAGAAATGAACGTGGAAAACTCAACAGCCCAGGCCACTCCATTCATAGAAAAGATAATGTCAAGTTTTCATTTCAAAAGGAGCCTTTGGATTTAGCATTTAAGGAAGGAAATTTGGCTTCAGCCCTTCTGTCCTACCCACTCCAACTCCAATCTGTTACCACTTTCATTAAATGATTTTGTTTCAGCTCCCACCCATAAATTACATCCCAGTTTATTTTCAAGAAACTCCTGGACATCTTCACATGGAGGGAACAGAATTTTGCCCCTCAGAGTTATTTGATGGAGAGTCTGACCTTATTTCTTCTTTAAAGAACTTCTTGCAAATAGATGTTCCGATGCAGGCATTGCATTTATCAAGACCGAGGAAAGTCCTTCCCAAATTGTAGCTGCTTCTGACTCGGGACACCAGAGAAGGAGAGGGAGAAGCTGGCAAGGAGGAACAACAGCTCAGGAATGAGACCCACATCAGCAGCAGGGCCAGCCAGGCTGGGTGGAGGGCGCCAGCTTGAGGCACCAGCTGGGGCTCCATCCTGGGCTCTGGGCTGTGGCTGCGGCCTCCAGCTGCCCACTCAGGGCTGCACAGGGGAGGGCTTGACCGGAGAGGAAGCTGTCAGAGGCAGCTGGCTTCAGGGTGCAAAGCCCATCCCAGCCTCCTAGGTTTCTGTCTAAGGATGCTGAGGAACTTGGGGCTAATGAGGCTGGGCAGTTGGTGAGGAAGTCCATGGAGGATGCTGATAACAGTGTTTCCAGAGTCATTCTTCCTCTGCCTGGGGTTGCTGCCTCAGCCTGGGGAGGGGCTCACTGGCAGATTTCGGAAAGGACAATGGTCACAGCTTCCCTGTGTGGTTCTTTCAACAAACACAGGATATCCCAGCTGGGCAGGAAAGGTTCATGCAGGATGTGTGTCTGACCTAGGTTCCACCTGGGAGTTTCAAAGAATCTTAAAGGCCTCCGCCCTCCACTGTTTTAAGTTTGGGTATATCTGTCCCTATGGATCTCTCACACACACACACACACACACACACACACACACACACCAGTTTCTTCTCCCTCTGCACTGGGTAATTTGTCATGGCACTTAACCAGCCATACCTCTCCCATGTTCACCATATTCCACTGTGAAATAACTAGAGCTAGTTTGCCGGACATTAAGTAGCACACTGAACACTGATTTGAAAGGTCAGGGCTTTTTGCTGCTGAGGGAATGAAAACCCCTGGTTATTCCATTTTCTCCTGCTGGTCTGAGAACAAGAGAGGGGAAAACCTGGTGGCCTCTGTGTCTTAATGAGGGGAGCACCAGAGAGAGCCCTCCTGCCTGCAACTAGCAGTATCCATCTCTTTCCCCCAAGCCTGAAAGCCCCTCTATTCTTTACAGCCTTGCCTCACATCTCAGCGGCTGGCCTGACTCGGGAGGATTTAACTGCCCAGAATTGCCATCCTCTGCACGCCCAGATGAGGCTCACAGCATGGAGCAGATGGGAGTGCTGATTTGGGAACAGAGTCTGTGAGGACCAAATCATGGAAGGCAGTTCCCCTGTAGGGCAGGGAGAAGGGAAAAGTGGTGTGAGAAGGAGTGTCAATGGCCTCAAGAGCAGTGGTGAGGTTTGCTAAACATCTGTGATAGTTCTCTGATGATTAAGCATGTGCCTATTAGCCATCTTTTTGTATCCTCCTTGGTGAAATGTCTGGTTGCATTTTTTTTTACTGTTGAATTTTTATTGTTAAATTTTGAGACATACATATACCCATATGCATACATACGCACATACATACATGTATACATACATAGTAGCCCCTACGCCTTTGTGGGATGTAGTGCTGTAGTTTGGATCTGGAATGTCCTTCAAAGGCTCATGTGATAAAGGATTGGTTTCTAGTCCATAGAGTTGTTGGAAGGTGGGGGGATACTTTAAGAGGTGGGGCCTAGTGGGAGATCTTCAGGTCACTTGGGGACATGTTCTTGAAGGGGATTGTGGGACCCTGGGTTTCATCCTCTTCCTTGTTCTTTTGCTTTCCCACTATAAGGTTTTCTGCCACCATGTGCTCCTGCCATGATGTGCTGCCTTGCCACAGGTCCTGTTGAGTCAACTGACCATGGACTGAAACCTCCAACATTGTGAATCTAGATAGACCTTTTCTAAGTTGATTTTCTCAGGTGTTTGTTATAATAATGGAAAGCTAATTAGCACACGTGACTTGTAAATTTTTTTTGGTGATACTGGAGGTTGAACTCAGGGCCTGTGTTGCTAGGCAGGCACTCTACCACTTAACCCACACTCCCAGCCAGCCCTTTTTGTTTTAGTAATTTTTTAAATAGGGTTTCATGTTTTCTGCCCAGGCCTGCCTGGACTGTGTTCTTCTTCTTTATAAGTGGGTGGCACTTGCCACCTACCCAGCTTTTATTGCTTGAAATGGGGGGGGTCTCAACTTTTTATCCAGGCTGGTCTCAAACTGTGATCCTCTCAATCTCTGTCGCCACAAGTAGCTAAGATTATAGGTGTTAGCCGCTGTACCCTGCTTCTCTTTCATATTTATAACAGTCTTTTGCAGAGCAAAAATTATGAATTTTGCTAATGTCCAATTTGTCAGTTTCTCCTTTTATGGATCATGCTTTTGATTTCAAGTGCGATCAAAGAAAAACTTAAGCACATTTAAATTTTAAAGAGTTTATTTGAGCATTCCACTCATTCATTAATCAAGGCAGCACCATATCTCAAATTACTAGTATTTTCCTGTGAGGGACAAAAGGGGGAAACCTTTATAAAGTGTTTGCAGAAACAAGGAAAAGATAATTTTTATTAACATATATTAATTGTACAAAGGGGTTTCTTGTGATATTTCCACACATGCTTGTGATGTACTTTGACCAAATTTACCCTCTCCATTGCTCTTTCTTATCCTCCCTGCCCCCTTTATAACAGTGTTTGCTGGGTTTCATTATTGGCATAATTGTATAAAGTGAAGGGTTTCATGATGATATTTCTATGTGTATATGATGTACTTTGATCATATTCATCCTATTAGATTTTTTTATTGCCTGCCCTTTTTGTGATTTAATGGGTTTCATTAATCTTTTTTCATACATGCAAATCATATACTTTGATTATATTCATCTCCTATTATCCTCTCTTTTTGCCCTCACTCCTCCCACTGGTCAAGGACAACAATTTTGATTAGAGTACAAAGTCCCTAGTTAGAGGTTAGTTGATGGTTTCTGACTGGTACAGTTTCTTTCCTTCCTCCCTTCCTCCCTCCCTCAGTTCCTTTTTTGCTTCCTCCCTTCTTCCCTTTCTTCCTTCCATTCTTTCTTCTTTATTTGTGTGTGTGTTTGTTTTTTTGAGACAGGGTTTCACTATATAGCCCAGTCTGGCCTATAACTCATGATCCTCCTGCTTCAGATTTTCAAGGTCTGGGAAAGCCTTGAGCCACCATGCCCAATTTCTGATTGGTGCAGGTGCTAATTTCAGTTTACCATTTACATTGGGCTTTTGTTTGTTCATGCAGAAATTTTAAGTGCCAGAGCTACTCCATCTAATTGTCTCCCAAACGCATTTTTTTGTTAACAAGAACTCTGCCTAGTCCTAGGACCCAAAGATTTTTTCCTATGGTTTTGTATAAATGTTTCATATTTTTAGTTTAAATCTATGATCCATTTTAAGGTAATTTTTGCATCAGTTATGAGGTTAGGTCAACGTTCATATTCGTTCATATTTTCATCCAACAGTTCCAGCACCATTTGTTGAAAAGGCTGTCTTTTCTCTGTTGATACTGCTTTTGAACCTTTGTAAAAATCAGTTGTTCATACTTGCATGTGGCTATGGATTATCTGGACACTCAATTTCATTGATATATGTGTTTATTCCTCTGTTAATACCACACAGTCTTAATTTCCATGGCTATATAATAAATCTTGAAATTGAACAGAGGGATTCCTACCAATTTCTTCTTCTTTTTCAAAGTTGTAATAGCTATCCTTATCTCAACCAGCAAAACCCCTTGTTCCTTCCTATTATTGCTTATACTCTCTCTACAACAAAATTAGAGATAAGGGCAAAATA